AAACTAGGTGGAGTGTACTATTAAGCACTGCCGGTTGCCTCCGACCAGGGTGTTGGGTTGAGATTTGGGCCGCGCCAGCGCCCCCCAACCCTTGCGTGTCCCTCCTGCGGAGTGCCCTGAAGGCATAGGGAAAGGGGAGCGGCGGCTGACGTGGGGAATCGGGTCCTGCAAGGCGACCCTAATCTTCACTGGGGCCCGTTGACACGCCCGGGAACCTTCCCCCTCAGTCCGCCCCGGGACCCGCTAGAGTGTCTGTCAGCTGCGGACAACAGCGCGCCTCCTCGCAAGTCCCTGGGGGTGCGCACTGGTGCACTCGCCCAGGTCCCTTCTTTGGCTGCTGCTCCAGGCGATGTGTCTCCAGGGCAAAACTGCCTAAAGTTTGGATTACAGAGGTTTCAAAAGGATCCTTTGCGGGTGCGGCGGGTGGAGAGAAAAAGGAGCTTGGGGGGAGGTGTAGAGCTAGCCCGAGAACGCGGAGGAGAGCGAGTTGCGCCCATCACTGAGGCAGAAGCGGCGAGGTGGAGTCACCTGGTGTGCCTCACCCAAGCTCTAATGTCTTAAAGAAATATAAAGAATCCCCTTTTCTCAAGAGCTCCTTCGCCGCCCTCCGCCCCCCTTGGTGATGGAGTGCACGCATCAGATTTTCATCAAAGTTCTATTAAGTGAAACATAGGTTGCAGGGCACCCTTTGATTGAAACAGTTTAAATTTTAATTGTGTTTTTAATTTGACATATAGTTGCAGAAAGGAATGACACTGCGTCGCCAAGGGGCGGTCGATTTTCTTAATTTCTCCCAGAGGAATTGATGAGTCTATCAGGCCACTAGATTGGAAACCCATTAAAGCTCTCTGGTTAGGCTGTTAATTGGAACTTGATGGATGTGGGAGGGGGGGTGTCGGGACTCGGCTATGCTGATCCAATCTTCATGACTTTCTGTTTTCCAATAAATTACACAATTCATTTTCCAGCCACAGATTACATAAATTGTACACCTCTGGGGCTCTCTTTTTCAAATAGGGAGCCCTTTTCCCCAAAAGCCTATTGCAAGATGTCATTTGCACCAAAGAACGAACGGCAGAGGCCCTTGAATGAAAATCGAAACATAATCAACGTTTATACTTAGAAAATTTATTGAGATCATTTTCTCTGGTATTTCCTTATTTTAAAGTTTGGACGCGCCATATATCATAATCCACTGGCGTAAAAGGGGGGGGGGCAGACTGTGTTTAATATTTATCGAAGCTTTATTCCAAGATCAAACTTGTTTATGACTTCATCTGTCATTTCGGAGGGAGCCTTCTTCCACTATTACCCGGCTCAGCCAGCCTATTTCCCAACTGCCGCAGAGCAGAGAGGATCAATTTTTATTAGGCTCCTCGGCAAGTTTGCTCTGGGCCGCTTTAATATTGAGCAGCGGCATAATCTCGGGACCTAAACTTTAAGCGTTCTTTCAGTCTAGGAAAGTTTATCATTCCTTGGATGCCTAATTCCCATGAGAGCGAGTGTGGGGGTGGCAATCCTGCAGGGTGTAGGCTATTCCACAGAGTGGAGCACGGCGGGGCGGAGCTACCCCAAGACCAGGAGGATGGGCAGGGTGTGGGGGCAGTACCGACTTTGAAGGATTGCCACACTTTCCCGCAGAGAGATGGGTGTCTGTGGGTAGTGGTTCCACGAACTGAGGGTTCCTGGGAGTGAGTTTTGCAGCTGCGCCGGGCCCAGGAGAGGGCGTCTGGGCCTCTGAGCTCTGCGTAAAGTCTCAGAGATCCGGGTATGCCTAAAAAGGGTGGCGGGGAAGGTCGCGTCTGGGTACTCCCGGTCCCTGCCTGCGGTGTGACTGCTGTGGGTGCTCCAGGGGCGGGACACCCCCATCCCAGCTGCAGCCAGTCGAGAGGCAGAGCTGGGAGTCCGGGTGCCCCGGCCCTGCGCCCACCACCATCACTTCCCCGCTCAGTGGAGAGTGTGTGTGACACGCTCACTAGCAGGAGCTCAGAGAAGGTTTGCCGAATAATGTGTGAGACTGCGTAAGCGGTTATGCAAGCGCGTGCACGGGGTTTCCTGCGTGCGCGTCGGAAGAGTGCGGGGTGTGGGGGCGGAGGAAACAACTCTGCGCCGATCAGATCCTGGACACGATTAGGGGATAGGGCAGGAGGAATACAAAGCCCGATGGTTTCTTCCGACTTCCCAAACTCGTTCTGAGGCTGGGGAGGAGAAGCCTTCGTAATTTCCTGGTTTAGAGCCCTCAAGCCAGGTTCCCCTAATGGGCTCCGCAGTCTCTTGTTGATCCAGGGCTTGGGAACTGCTTCTCCGAGACCCCTAGCCACCTCGGACAGTCCCCGCACTGAGGTCAACTCCTTGGGCTCTCGCCCCGCCCATATACCCGCTCCTTCCGTCCTAGTGACGGCAGAGGTTAGTATAGTCTTCCTCGCAGCCATCCTCCAAGCTCAATGCCAGTGCCTGCTCCTCTCCTCCCCCTCCCCCACTCCTCCCAAGTGAGTGGTATTGGCAGTGGAACAACCTTAAGCATCAATCTTGCTTTCTCTGCCTGGGTTAGTCACTTTTTTTTGTCCCTGGGGCCTCAGTTTCCCTGCCTGTACATTGGGGGAAAAGATCTGCATCACGTTTAGCTGTGTGGATGACAATGAAGAGCGATGGGGAGCTCCCAGCCTGTCCCGGCACCAAGTGTTTACTAGCTCAGAAAGGTTCAGACAACCCCCATCCCCACCCAGGCTTCCTTCCCCTGCAGGGTGGCCTACTCTGCCCCCCCCACCCCCCAGTTGGCGGGCCAAATTCCCCCTGGAGCTGCCTTGCCCTGGCTGGGGAGACAACTCTGGGTGCCTGCGAGGCCAAGAGGGCTTCAGAGTCCGACATTTCTTTCCCAGAACCTCCCGTCTATATCCTTACCGCGCGGGAGCGCGCGGGACCGGCTGAGATGTGGCTGGGTAGCCTGCGCCGCCGCCGCGCGGAGGAGGACGCACAAATTGTATTTCAGCACCAGGTCCTTCTGGGTTAATGAGCTGACACCATGATTAAAGCTGACCATTTGTAATGTGTCTCGACCCTGCCGCCGAGCCCTGAAGAGGTTAATGCGGTGACGGAGGCCGGCACCTGCCCCTCGCCGGCCTCCCGAGCCGCGACGCATAACCCCTGGCCTCCGCCCCCTCTCCTGCCCCTGCCCCGGCTGCGCTGCCGACTCCTAATCAATTAGCCCATTAACAAGCCCTTCGAGGAGTTAAGTAGGGAGAGTTCTGCCACGGGCAGGGCCACAGTCGGTAACTCACCGCAGCTAATGATATTATAAGCGCTTTACTTAATAACCTGGGCGCGGCGGGGGCGCGGAAGGAACTGCACCGTCATGGTGCAGCGCCTGGACATTTGTGGGGACTGGTTCCAGAGTCTTCTCTCACCCTTGGCTGCATTTAGGGGGCACACTAGAGACAGGACTTCTAGGATCTCTTGGCGGAGAGGTCGCGAGGCTGCAGGGCCTTTCCTTACCTGTTTCCATGAAGCCTGTGTAGGCTGCGGCCCCAAACCGCTTTCCCTGCGTCCGGCTGATTCTAGATCAGGTAACAGGTGATCTAGGAATTAAAGCGGAGAGAGCCAGGGCTCAGCGAAGGGCCGTGAGAAAGTGGGAGGAAATCATGGCTCATTGCACCCCACGGTGGGCTTGGCTACTGCTGGGCACTTTGACCTCACTACAGCCTCCACGAGACAGGCATTGCTTTCCCAATTTAGGAAAGAAGAAACCCGAGGTTTAGAAAGTCTAAGTATCCTGCCCAAGGTCACCCAGCCAAAATCTGAATCGACTCTGCCCCATTCTAATGCTGTGTCCCCATAGCCACCTCCTTCCTACTTCACCTTCCCGGGGGCAAAGCGCATCTATTTCTGCAGCAATTCCCAGACCTCCAATACACGAGATTTACCAGAGAACGAGATTCACTTAAGGCATGGGCGGGCCGTGGGCTGTTTAGCAAAGGTTTATGAAGTACCTACTATGCGCTCCTAGTGCTTCTAGCCCTTTAGACGCTTTTCCATCCCCACCTAAGGCGATCGGAGAAGTTCATTTCACCAGTAAGGGCAGTGAGGCTTTGATTAGGATCAGACTTGTCCAAGTTCACGCATTGTGTAAATGGTGGTGCTGGGACTTGTACCAGGATCTCTTGACTGGGATCTAGAGCTTCCTCCCTTCTCCCAAAGATCAGGTAGCCCTGTTGGTCCAGTAACAGGGATGAGGTCTGCAGGCAAGAAAGGGCAGAAGTTGTGCTCCTGGGGCTCCCAGATATACCCGGGGGAAGAGCGTCAGTCTGTAGACGCTCCTGACCCACCTCACTCCCATGCGGGGCGCCGCGGACGAGCAGTGCCTGCCCATCGGGACTAGAGGGGTGGAGGGCTGGGGGAGGGTCGTGGAGGGTCAGAGACGTGATGACCCGTTCCCCGCGGAGTCGTGGGGCCACTCCAGCTTGCAGCCCCCGCCCCTGGAGAAGGTCGGGGTTCGAGGGGTCGGAGTCGCCACAGAGGCCAGGAACCCGGTTAGAATCTATGCTGCTTTCGGACCCGGCAACCCTTGGTTGGACCCAGCTGATGCCCACCGGGTTCTCGACGAGCTCAGGGAGCACACCAGCTCTGTGAGCCGGGCCGGGGCTTTTTGAAAATTTCCGGGGCCGCTCGGCGGCGCTGCGATTGGCCGCGTTCGGGTAACCTCTATGCAAATGAGGCCGCGCCGCCTCCTCGCCGCCGGAGACCTGGCGAGGTGGCGGGCGAGGAAACGGGCATTCGCACCGGGGCTGGGCGGGCGCACCCAGAGCTAGGCGGGCAGGAGCCCCCGCGCAGCCGTCCCGAGTCCGCGAGTCCCGCGTGCAGAAGGGACGCCTCGCTAGCCTCGCCGCCCCCTCCCCCTGGATTCCCTCCCCGCCCCTCCCCCCGCTTGCCTGCCTGCACCACCTTCCACCCAGATCGTCTCTAAAGGGAGTTCTTGGTTTCCTCTGATTTCTTATGAACCCAGGATGGGCAGCAAGGAAGATGCAGGCAAGGGGTGTCCGGCGGCCGGTGGCGTCTCCAGCTTCACCATCCAGTCCATTCTGGGCGGGGGGCCCTCGGAGGCACCGCGGGAGCCCGCTGGCTGGCCGGCCAGGAAGCGCAGCCTGTCGGTGTCCTCGGAGGAGGAGGAGCCGGACGACGGCTGGAAGGCGCCTGCCTGCTTCTGCCCAGACTCGCACGGCCCTAAGGAGCCGGGCCCCAAGCACCACCCCCCCATCCCTTTTCCTTGCCTGGGTAAGGATGCACTTCGCCAGTCTGGCAGGGAGCGAGCGAGCGCGAGGGGAGGGAGGCTGAGCGCCCCGCCAAGACTCCCATGCCAGGCCCCCTCCGCCTAGAACTGCTGCTGCTACTGGGGTTTGGGGCCGAGGGGAGGAGACGCGCGCGTCTCGGTGCCTCCTCAGCCCCGTGCGCGCTCGGGCGGAGGCGGGGAGCACAGCCCCCAGTGCGGCTGGGGCGTCTTGGGGCAGGTTGAGTTGGAGACAGTGGACCACAGCGGGTGGAGCACCTAGCCGGTGGTACACACAGCTCTGTCCTCAGTCCCTTTGCACATTGGATACTTTCCGGACAGGAGGTGTGCAAGTCGGGTCTAGGCAGTCTGTCTCCACGGAAATCTCTTTCTGTATCTTTTTCCTCCTCTCTCTGTCTCTGTCTCTTCCTCGAAATGATTAGCACTCCAAGATGATTGACAATGGTGCGTTTCAGAGACGGTTCCTCTTTACAACATCTGGCGAAAGGGAGCCCCACGTTAGTCCTTAGCATGATTTCCAAACAAACGGCCTGTGAAATGATGGTACCCTATAAAGCTCGAGGAACTCTTCCAGCTCAGTTATTACAGAGCAAAATCGCCTTGTGTAAAATGATGCTAATGTTCCCCCTGCAGACGTCCTCTCCCAGTTGCCACTTGCCCCTTCATAAAGGTGGGAGCACAGAGACCTTAGACTCGGAGTAGCTGGGTGCCTCTCCTGTTGCTTTTTAAATGCTGGGGCGCTGGGTGCCAGCAAGAGAGAGAAGAGGAGGGGGGTGGAAACTTGGGGCCAAGGCTGCGGGTGCCTGGCAACCGCCTGGTCTGGGGAAGAGCTGGGAGTCTCCGAGGAGGCTCCCCAACTCCATGGCCTTCTTGTCTGTTCTCGCTCCTCAGGTACCCCCAAGGGCAGCGGAGGCGCGGGGCCGGCGGGCTCGGAGCGCACGCCTTTTCTCTCTCCTTCGCACCCGGACTTTAAGGAAGAGAAAGAGAGGCTTTTGCCCGCAGGCTCGCCCTCGCCAGGGTCGGAGCGGCCGAGGGACGGCGGCGCCGAAAGGCAGGCGGGGGCGGCCAAGAAGAAGACGCGCACTGTCTTCTCGCGCAGTCAGGTATACCAGCTGGAGTCCACCTTCGACATGAAGCGCTACCTGAGCAGCTCCGAGCGCGCCTGCCTGGCCTCCAGCCTGCAGCTCACCGAGACCCAGGTCAAGACTTGGTTCCAGAACCGCCGCAACAAGTGGAAGCGGCAGCTCTCGGCCGAGCTGGAGGCGGCCAACATGGCGCACGCGTCGGCGCAGACTCTGGTGGGCATGCCGCTGGTGTTCCGGGACAGCTCTCTGCTGCGCGTGCCGGTGCCCCGCTCCCTGGCCTTCCCCGCGCCGCTCTACTACCCCGGCAGCAACCTCTCGGCCTTACCCCTCTACAACCTCTACAACAAGCTCGACTACTGACCGCCCGCCGCCCCGCGCCGCTCCCTGCTCCCGGGCCGCCCGGCCGCCGCCAGCTGCCTGCTGAGTCCGTCGCGCGCCGCACCCTGCGCGGGCCGAGCGAGGGGGCGTTTCCAGAAATATTAAGAAATACACCATGTGTATTCTTTATCTCCTATTTATGGCCTCTTCCCTACTTTTTTGTTTTGATTGTTTCGGGTATTTATCCGCATTCTTCAAACCAGATAGCCTGCTTTCTACCCAAACCGAACCAATACGCTTTGAAAACCATTCCGAGGGGGACGGTCTCGGGTGGTGGTGGGAAACGGAGTTTTGGCCAGTTCGGCTTTGGTTGGTAGAAAAAAAAAATCAGAAAAACACTAGCAAAACAGGTACAGTTCTCCCACATATATACACCTGTGTATGTACGTGCACACTCTCTCGGCCAGGCCAGGCCTCTGGGACTTCGGACAGCTGTCTAATTGCCTCTTTTCATTTCCCCCATCCGGAGGATGGGTAGGGGTGGAAGGGGGAGAGTTCAGATGTGTAAATATTTTTAAAGAGAAAAAAAAATAAAACATTTTAAACATCGTTGCTAACTTTGGTGGGATTTATTTCCCCTGCATGACGGTGCGCGGGGGTTTTCAGGCTTTTCGGTGGAAGGGCTTGCAGGTACCTGTCTGCAAGAGTCCGGCACGCACCACGTGGAGGGTGGGGCGGGGGTCAGGGGTTAAAAGTCGGGACCTTGGCGCCGCCCAGACTGCGTGTGGCTACAGCTGTCCGACCCTGGTGCCCGTAATCCTCCCGCGGGCTGGGACGCACCCCGGCCACAATCCAGCTCGGGAGCCCGAGCCTGGAAAGACAAAGGAGTGGAGGCAGGCGTTGCTGCTGAAGCGATTGCCTTCGGGAACCAGCCCAGCGGAGCGGCATCTTCCCTGTGATGGAATCGCCCTGAGCTTGGCCACAGCTGGGCACGCTACGGCGCAGCCAGACTCTGCCGCGGAGCGTCCTCTATGCTAAATATTGGGCGCAGGGCAAGCGGCGGCGCTGCCTGTACGCGGTAAAGTGTCGGCTGTGCTGTCCCCGAGCTTGGTGTGACTGGCTTGCCGCCGCGCCCAGTTCCCTGGCCGGTGGCAGTTGCGTGTCCCGCGCGGAGCGAGAACTGGGCGCGGTAAAGCCGCACTTCGGCCTAGCCGAGGGATCCAAGGCCCGAGACCAGGCAAAAAGGCGCGGGAGGCAAAGGCTCTTCCCTACTCTTTTGTTGATTAATAGTTTGCATGGGGCGTGTGGCTGGATCAGTGGCCAGCACGCAGCCTCACGCCCTGAACAGAAAAGTGGCGCGCGGCCGGGGCGCCCACGGACTCCCGCGCTGACACCTGCCGCCGCGCGGGGGCTGGGAGGGCTCTGCGTCGAGAGAATGCCACGGGAGTGGCGTGCAAATCGCAGACTCTCGCTCCCCTTAGATCGCAGCCACCTGTTCTGGTAAAACGTCGGAAAAGGAAGCAGGAGCTGGGAGGAGGCCAATGGTTCAGAACCACGTGGGGCTAGCCCCTCGGTCCTCCTGCCTCCCGGACCCCAGCCCCGCGGAGCAGGTGCCAGGGAGCCGGGAGTCCGCAGCGCAGAGGCTCGATCTCATCCGCTAGAAGGAAAATATTTGTGTGTGAAACTTGTCTTTTTGACCTGAGAGGAATAGAAATTACATTTTGTGAATGTATTCAGAATATCTGTAAACGTCTTTGTGACCCACAGTACTGTGTAAAATGTCTGGCCCAAAAGATTTGATCTAATATTGTCCTTTTGAGATCATGTTTTTTTTCTTCTCACATTAGATTTCATAAAAATCACAATCTACTCCAAGGTGATGTCAGAAGGATGTTATCCAAGAACATATTGGTCAATACTAGGTTAGTTCAATTGTATTTATTTCATTTTAACTGAGTTCACATCAATAAATATTTACTCGGCCCTAGTGCATGCTGAGAAACTATGCTAAATATCGGGTAGTCAGAAAACAAAAGTGATACTGGATCCCATTTGTTCTTGATTTATTCTATACACACACTTTATTTCAATGAAGTTCTCTTGTTCCAGATGACACTCTTTAAATTCTTTTCCTTTAACGTTGCTATTTGAATATTCCACGAAGAAACAAGTAAACTGCTTCCAAAGAACTGCTTGTACAGGAATATTCTATCCATATCATTTTTGTCTGCATTTCAGTAGATTACACTTTTCTCTCTCTTTTTTTTTTCTATAGAGATAATTGAGACTGAATAGATTACAGTTTTAACAAGGGCTGATGGTTTTAACAGTATCGTGCCACTATATCCTCCTTAGGCTTGCTTTTGTTATAGGAAATAGTTTCTTCTACTCACTGTAGGCACTTAATGACAATGATTTTGCCCTTAAAATTTAAGGGAACGATCCTTTTTCAGTTTGTCATAATGTGTATATTTCACTCTTTTTACTAAAACAGAAATTAGCAGTCAACGGTGATCCAATAGTGTAATTAGTTTCTAGGAATTCATCTCTCTCACAGGTAACTATTAAACACACACACACACACCACTGCATTTGGATTTAAAATGTTGTTCAAGACTCCATTGTTGCCAGATTTCCTATCTCAAGACTATCAATTCATTTGAATAATCAGCAAAATCACCAGCCTCCTTTCAGGCTCTAAACTGGATTTAAAAGATTGACGTTTCTTAAAACTCAAATCGAGTCAGGCTGCAACTACATGCCCAGAGGGACCTGAATCATACACACACTGGATAATGAAATACACTTAGATTTTATTAGTGGGTAATTCATGCTCAGAATCTTGGAACACTAATAGAATTAAATAAACAACTGGGAGAAGGAACCAAATAAGTCAGGAGATAAAATCATTTAGCTAAAGTTAGAAGTAAGGAAGTGCATTTTAAAATTTTGAACTTGGCCATTAACTTGTTGAAAAAGAAGACATAGAGAACCAAGGACTGGTGGGGAAGAAGGGTGAGAAATTTTTAGCAGTAATATCAATACAATAGGAAGAAATGTGGCAGTTGTTCTTATAAGTACATTTATTGTGTCAGGAATCATAAAAAGAGGTGCATACAATACTGGGTATGGTAAAATAAAAATCAACAACACTTTCTTTTATTAATGTATCTTAAAAACAAAACACTTTAACCCCAACAATTCCTCTCACTTCCTGCAACATCACATAATAAAACAAAAAATTTTCTTTACAAAAAGGCGATGAAAAAGAGGTTATAGCATAGATTAAATTGAAAATTTCAGTGAGCCTTTGACGTTCAAGAGTAACTCAGTCACTTCATTCCACTAATTAAGTATTGCTTTTCTTTCATGGTGATAAAATCATTTCTGATTGCAGAACAACCTTCTTGATCCTCATTTCTGGAGAATTCTAGAAACAGCAAATGGAGCAAACTGCAATTCTGTGGAGTGGCAGGGCAGGGTGGAAGGAGAGAGGCTTCTAGCTGTCAGTTTGGCACCCTACTATAAACATATCTCTAAAAGAAGCAGCTGTGTGAACTTTAGCACATTGCATAGTATTGTTTCCCAGGCTGTTCACTCTTCTGGACCCGGTGTTCCCCCAGGGCAAGGGCTAGTCTGATTAAATGCCTCTTCCCAGAGCTCTCCTCAGGCCCAGCATATAGCGGACGCTCAATAAATGTTTGCGGAAAGACGGGATGGAGAGATAAAGCATACAATAAATAAGGATGAGTTTCTGAGAGATCAGCAAAACTTGGTGGAGTAGGAAATGGGAGACCTTGGTTCATCGGTGAAAACTCCAGGAAAATGAGAAAAAAAATCAAGGCAAATAATGCAGTTGATCAGAGCAAATATTTTCTTCTCTACTCCAATTTTTGGTTAGCTTCACAGGTGTATGCACATCCGGGGAAGGGGATAATAATGTATCTTATAGGACTATGAACCAAAATGGAATTCTTGGGTCTGAGAGACTAACTCCTGGGTTGGGGGGCAGGGAGGAACGCCACCGGGAGGAGGTGGAAAGAGAATCTTTCCCGCCTACTATTCTGAGGGCAGGCAGAGCGTCAGCCGCAGCGGAACTACATCTTCCAGCGTGCAGCACACGGGCCTGAGAGGACGTGAACGCAGCCTTGGCGCGATGCTTCTTGGGAGTTGTAGTTTCCACTCGTCCAGCTTGAACTTGGGTTCCTCAGCATGGTTGTAAAATGAGACCACGTGATCGGAAAAGCCGCGGTTTCCCTTTGAGCCGGAACAGGATGACTGGGTTGACCGACGCCGGGCAGCTGAGCGGACCAATCGGCTGTCTAGAGTGAGACGTTGGCTTTTGAAATCAGCCAATGGCAGGCCTATGTTAGAGCTTCCTCTCCACCTCCTTCGCCCAGCCCGCGAGTGCTTCGAGGGAGGTGAGGAGGCGGCGGCGGCAGCGGTGAACGGCGGAAACGTTACCTCTGAGGGGTGCCCAAGGTAAGGGGCTAGGCGACGGGGCGCAGGAGCCGACTCTCCGGGAACTCCCTAAGCCCGCAGCTAGTAGAGCCGTTCGCAGGGGATCCCGTTTCGCTTCTATTGTTTTCCCCGCATTTTAGGGGCGACGGGCCCCGGGAGTGCGGAGAGGGAAGGGTCGGGGTGCAGACACCGCCGCTGGCCAGGCTAGTGGCTGGGCTTAGGGGTGAGGCCGTGAGGGGTGGGCCACTTGGGGAGCGGCGGGGGCCACCTGGGGGGGCGAGTCCTGACCGTGGCGGGAGCAGGCTCTGCGCAGGCGCAGAGGCTCCTCGTCGTCTTTCTCTCGGCCCCTCCCTCTGGAATCCCCCACTACCTGGCCATCACCCCGGGACCTTGAGGACTTAGATTGGGCACCTCTTCTGCAGATGACCGGTTCTAACGAGTTCAAGCTGAACCAGCCACCCGAGGATGGCATCTCCTCGGTGAAGTTCAGCCCCAACACCTCCCAGTTCCTGCTGGTGTCCTCCTGGGACACGTCCGTGCGCCTCTACGATGTGCCGGCCAACTCCATGCGGCTCAAGTAC